GTGGCACGTCATTCCAGCGCAAGAGGTTAACCACCAACTGATTGCGGACCGTAACGAGTGACCAAACCGTATACAGTAACTCGTCGCTTTATTTGTGAACTCGTCGATATGATATATCTGGGTCGAAATTCTTGAGAAGTAATGAATTTATTGTTTGTTTTGCCTATTTTGTTTTACTTAAATATACTTGAAATTGAGAAAATATTGCAATTTTGGGACGAAAGAATTCTCCGACGTGCGTGGCACGTCATTCCAGCGCAAGAGGTCGAAACAACGAAGTAGCAAACGACGGGGGAATCGCGGTGTTGATGAAACTTTCATTTGAAGCCGACTCGGATATTTTTTTAAACAAAACACGCAAAACACGAAGCTCATTTCCGACTTTTCTTTCGTTCGTCGTACATTCGTCGTCTCTTACACGTTCCAAGATTACGACGACGGCTGTCGTGCCACGCGTCGAGAGATACGACGACGATCGAACGAAAGGAAAAATCAAAGGCTCCGGTAGCTGTGTGTTTTGGTGTCAGAGGTAAATGTCAGAGGTGGGATCGAGTGAGCGAACGGTTCGACGCGGCAATGGTCGGTTAAGGAGACGCGGGAGGCGGCGTCGAAGAATTGGGAACGCGACCTCGAACGAGCCGACTGCGAGTGGACACGACCTGGGGGACAATAAAATAAGCGAATCAGCAGGTCGTTGTCGTAATTCTGGCTACGTCACTGGTACTACCCCTCTACACTCGACGGAGGGTCGTGTACCCTCGCGTAGAGGGGGATAACGGCGGCGGGAGAGAGTGGCGCGGAGCGGCGGCGGCAGAGAGAGAGAGAGAGAGAGAGAGAGAGAATGAGTTAAGAGAGGGTGAGAGAGCGAAGAGAGGAGAGGAACATGGGGTGAGAAGCGCGCTGAAGAGAGAGTAGAGGGGCCAGGGGGGAGGGACAGCGGTGGTGAGAGGAACGCGCGGAACGCTTTATGAATGAATGTTTCCACGCCAAGTGTGGCGAGAGAGCGAGAGAGGCCCCCGTGTGTCCCGCGTGTAAACACAATAATACCGACGTTTCCATTCATCAGGTCGACCCCGGCAAAGCACGCCGCGACCTCGAGAAATGCCTTTCGAGGCGCCACGTGGATCGCATACCCCTCCCTAACCCTCTCTCTCTCTCTCTGTCTCTCTTTCTCTGTCTCTCTCCACCCTGTGTCCCTCTTCCTCGTTCTTTTTTGTTCACCAACCCTCCGTCCCGCTGTTTCAAAAGCGATTTCAATCTTGCCCTCCTTGGTGGTTCGCCGCCGAGCTCTATATCTTCTCTCCGTTCTGTCTGTGTGTCACGAGCGTTGACTCCGGCGCGCTCGCTTCTCTCCGTCAAGAGACAGCGACGTTTGTTCCAGCGATCCAGGTGAAAATTTTGAAACGTTCCTGAGATCCGTGGAAACCTCATCTTGGAGGCGCGACTTGGATGTGCCACTTAACACATTAACGTGGACGGGAATTCGCGTGTTTTAGTTTTTCTGCTGTTGCGGACGGGAGACGAGAATTCTCGTGTTTCAACGTTGCGGACGAGGAGGAACGCTATAATTTATATTATATAATATTATATATTATAATGTATTAATTTTTCAAGAAGTAGGGAAATTGTTTCCTAACATACCGCACCCAAGAAACGTTACTAGAGGTAGTTTCATTTTATTTAATAAAATACCTCTAAAATGAAAAATAATTAATAACTTTAATTATTAATAAAATAATACACTTGTTAAATGCTATACATTGAACCTCTTGAACCCTTTCAATCATATATTAAATATTATATTAAATAATTATAATTATATTAAATAATTTAAAAAATGCGAGAGAATACTATATGTTTGCCAAAGCATACCGTCCTGTGTTAATATAAATATAAAATAAATAATACGATTAATAATCTAAAATACATAATAAATGGATTCTTAAATGTTACTATAAAATACAGTAATATATAGTAAGTATAGTATATATAGTAATTTTTAAATATTACTATAAAATATAGTAAGTATAGTAATATATAGTAATTCTTAAATATTATAATTAAAATATATAGTAATATACAGTAATTCTTATATATTACTATAAAATATATAGTAATATATATGTATAATTACTATAAAATATATAGTAATGTACAGTAATTCTTAAATATTACTATAAAATATATAGTAATATATATGTATAATTAATTATAAAATATATAGTAATATTGAAGAATATTTTATCAATGTGAATTAAACAAGTGCATATATGCATCGTACAAAGTTTCCCTGTTGCTCCAAAAATGTGCGGGCCCTTAGGCGCTACGCAATGCGTTAAGACGCGTTTTCATTAGCTGTCGAAATTTTTGAAATTGTTAAACCAGAAACACGGTATGACGCGTGTAAACCGTATTAGAAATTCTGACCCGGTTCGTCGTGAGTAAAAGAGGGCAACCGAGTTATCTGGCCTGCAAGAAAGTCCAGCTGCTTGGTCGTGCGTGGCAACGAAATGCACGTAGCTCAAATCTGACTCTTTTCGCGGTGGCGCGTATCGCGACGAAAGAAAAGGAGTGAATAATTTTAGTTTCTGAATAGCTTGGGTTTTTCAAAAACGTTGAGTTTTATGAAAAACCTTTCGAATGAAAAGCATCCTCGAGTGAAAGGAAAAATGTCTGCAGAGAGCATGAATATTCAAATATTTCGCAAAAATTGTACGTGCTTCGTGCTTAGATTGTTCAAAGTGGAAGATCCTGTTAAAATTTTGAAGTCGGCGGAAAATTGTCCAGAAAATTATAGAAAAGAAAAAAATACACAAATATTTTTCGAAATTACAAAAGATGATAAGATAATGTTCCATCTCGCTGTGAACTGTAAAAAAAAACAAAATTACAAAATGTTGCTATAAATATTACACATTGAAGATGGCCCTTAAATTCCAATAAAATTATAAGTAGTATGTGAACAAGTATGAAAAAATTCGATTTTCCGAATCGGACGCTCCTCTAACTTGTGTCGTGCGTTGTGTTGCAGGATTTCGAGGAGACGGATCTATCGAGAAAGGAGGACACGTTGCAAGGATGGGCGGGGAAGAGCGTTTGGTCCATGGTGTGCGCCATGGAATTAGGCTTGATATCGAGTGTCTCGCAGAACAACGTCTTGCACGACACGATGCCCGACGAACGATCGTACGTCAACGTGGCCGGCGTCGCAGTTCCCAAGTCCACGTTGCCCTTGATAAATAACAGCTCGGTCAGCGCCGCGAGCAAGTCGTCGAGGATCCGTTTGAAATCGCGCAGAAGAAAGAAGAAACGGAGCTCGAAATGCGCGTCCAGATCCAAGAGCGAATCCCCGTTCATCCGAGGTAAAGAGGTGAAGGAGAACTTTTGCAAGACTAGACGAAGCTACGACTCAACGACCATGGACAACGACTTGAACACCGTCGACAAGTTTTGGAGATACCAGAAGAGAAGGCACGAGGGCACGAAAAACGCGGAGCAGTTCCCTTGCAGCGAAACTCGGAACGACGATCCATCCGTGTCAGCCGGTTATCGCGATTCACTCGCGGCGAAACGCGACGATAACGATAATTTGCCGAATCAATCGAATCACACGGCAAACATCCTCCCAACGCGAGTAAACATTCCGCAGACTGGCACCTCCAGTCGAGAGGTGAAGTCATCTTGCAGAAACGACGCGGGTAACATCGCCTCGCGCGGTTACGATCGCTCGGCGGGAAACGATCGTTGGACGAGGAGAACCGATTTCAAAACGTCGTCGAAGCCTGTTAACGTGCGGCAGAAACGGATGGTCGATCGCGACGAGGACAAACGATTACGTTATTCGAGGGAGGATCGCAACGATGACCACCAGGGTAACGTATCGGTCGAGCCGGAGTCTGAAGAGTCGTCGAAGGAACAATCGGAGAACGAAGAAGACCTCGCTCTCGATGAGTTGGCCAGCCTCGACGAAGCTGAATCCTCGAACTTTGGCGCGGCACGTTCGTCGAATTCTGGCGACGCGCGGTCGTCGAGCTTTCGCGAAGCTCGGCCGTCGAGCTTCGGGGGATCGACGTTGTTGAACTTCGACGAAGCCAGATCGTCGAGTTTTAACGAACCGCCGTCGCCGAATCTTGACGAGAGCGCGTCTTCGAGTTTTAGCGAGATGCAGTCGTCGAATCTCGACGAGACTGCGTCTACGAATTTCGGCGAGGCGCGGTCGTTGAGTTTCGGGAGGGAAGGCGTATCGTTGAGTTTCGGGAGGGAGGGCGTATCGTTGAGTTTCGGGAGGGAGGGCGTATCGTTGAGCTTCGACGACGGTAGATCGTCGAATTTTAGCGAGCTGCGATCTTCGAATCGCGAAGACGAGACTACGTCTTCCAACTTTGGCGATGGGAAATTGCCGAATTTTGGGGAAGCTGCGTTGTTGAGTTTCGACGAGGGTGGATCGTCGAATTTCGACGAGCGACCATCGAATTTTGTCGAGACTCAATCGACGAATTTCGACGGAGCTCCGTCGGCGAGTTCCAACGGGGAGCAACCGTCGAAGCTCGACATCGACGAGCTTTCCGCGAGCAAAAAAGTCTCCTCGAACGAAGAGAGTGAAGACGAACACTCGATCGCGAAGAAGAGCAAGATGTCCTCCGACGAGAACACGACGACCGCCAAGCCGATGAGGAAAGTCGTGAAGGCCCCCCAGAAGAAAGGATCCAGGTGGAGCGACGGATGTTACGAGCTCAGGAGGGTTACGCGAGGATCGATGAAAGTCAGCAAGGATCTGTTCGTTGGCAAATTGGTGTGGGGCTATTATTCCGGATGGTGGCCAGGCGAGAATTTCAATATTCTTTCTTTCTTTTTTCTTTTTTTTTTTTTTTTTTATTTAACCTCTTGCGCTGGAACGACGTGCCACGCACGTCGAGAACTTTTTGCCCCAAATTGCCACATTTTCTCTCAGCTTCAAGTAACAAATGTCCAGGCGAAACAAATGTCAAGTTTATTACTTCTTAATAAGTTCTAAGATGTATTTATTACTTCTTAATAATTTCAGCGATATCTATACTGACGGAAGAAAAAGAAAGCGACGAATTATTTTGTACGGTTCGGTCACTCGTTACGGTCCGCAATCAGTTGCCAGCGCAAGTGGTTAAACAGAAAGAGAACAATAATTAACGACTTTAAGGAACTGTGTCAAAAGGACAACACGGCTTTCTTTCTTGTATTTTATCATTTCACCATATGAATTTATACGAAACACCATTTTTCGAAAGAGGACTCCTATTTTTATATATATAGAGAGTGACCTGTCCAGCGAATGAACGTTGCTCGTATCATGCGAAAAAATTAATACCTATCTCTGTACCTACGCTCCCTTCACGTTGAAATTTACATAGCACGGTCCCTGACTGAAAACAGCTTTTCTGATCAAATTCAGAGGCCTGAATGTAGGTTGTTAATAATTTTTATTAACTGTTGAAGTACATACGTATATAATGTGAATTTTTTTTAATAATTAATAATTTATTCTTCTCTCTGTTTTCCTTCGATTGCAACGTTCATTACAAAGAAACATTCTTGCGCTTTTATAATGAACACTCAATAGTAAAAACTAATGAAATATTACTATACAGGGTGTTTCGTAACTTGTGGGATCCACTTCGACAGCTGATTGTACGTCTAAAAATGATGAAAAAATAAATATATGTCCTATCTGTCTTTGTTTATGAGATATAATGAATTTTCTGTTTTAATTACTATTACAAAAGATGCTCGAAATGACCACCTTGCATTTGAAGACAAGCCTGCACGCGTCTTGTCATTCATCTGNCGGAGAACGAGCAGGCCATGCAATAGCACCTCCACGACCAATCCATTTATTTGCAAAGTGTTGATTTAAAAATTGCCTAGCCACTCGGCTAAAATTCGGCGGAGCTCCATCATGCATAAACCGCATACGAAGTCTAATATCGACTTGGAACTTCCTCTAATATTTCGTGTAAACGCATGCTCAAAAAAATCAACGTACATTGTGTCTGTTAGTTTCCCATCAAGGAAAAAAGGTCCAATTAAAAATTTATCAATTATTTCTGCCCATACGTTTAAACTAAACTGATGTTGATGTCTTGAATGCGCAATAACATGTAGGTTTTCTTCATCCCAGTTATGATTATTATGAAAATTAAATATACCATCCCTGGTAAAACTAGCTTCATCAGTGAAAAGTATGATAGACACAAAACTCTCTTCACGTTCTCACATTTGCAGGAACCAAGTACAAAAAACACAATCTTAAACGACATGTATTATTATTAGTAACAACTGAACTAATTTAGAGAGTATTGCGAAATTTGCTGAATCTTCAAATAGTCACACGAAAGATATCAAGTAAGTATTATTTGTAAACAGTGTGAATTCTTGCTTATGAATTATTGCGGTCTATGGAAAGAGAGGAGACCGGACAGAGAGTTTGCTCTGTTTATAAAATTCATTGTATCTCATAAACGAAGACAGATAGAAGACATATATTTCTATGACTTTTTTTCATTATTTTTAGGCGAGACAATCAGCTCCCGAAGTGGGTCCCACAAATTACGAAACACCCTGTATAACTGTATATAAATTACTAATATATATAAAATATAATAATAATTTAACAAATTGTTGTGTATATGAACTAAATTTTATTTAACTCTTCAAAGGTTTTACTAAAAACACGAAAGATGTTAAAACTGTGAATGATTCTAAGAGAGTTCAACTGACAAAACCGACAAAAATGTCCTCTTATTTTTACTCAACTTTTTGACCTCGTGACGTTCGAGGATAAGTCTTGTTACTTGGCGTCTACAATTTCAAACTTTCCTTCTTCACTCAAATTAAATCAAATTTTTACTTTTCTTTACGATTCGTCACAATGAAAAGACACGCGTGACTTTTGTCGAAATTAATGCTGAATTGAATTTCAAAACACGATTGTGTGAAATCACAATTAATCAAATTGTAACGATCGCAAACGATGCGTTGAAGACCGATAGAGCCAGTATTAATTGATTGACGATTTCATTAGTGAATACTAATTTCAACAGGTTTGAGTGTACGTTCACACACTGGACAGCTCATCCCCCAAATAAGAAATTATACGTATAAACTGCAGCAGTTCGCGTAATGCAAGAAATGTACCCTTAACGGGTTAATCATAAAAGCGATCGACGTTCCTCTCGTCTGTAGTTTCGTAGCTTGATCAGTTACCGACAGGCTGGCGCTAGCAATCGATTTACTGATCGAAAGTTTTAAAGCTGGAATAGGATCGGAGGAATGTACGTGACGTGACGTGACGTGACGAGACGAGACGTGATGCAACGCGACGCGACGAGACGAGCGCAATCGATGTTACAGCCATGTCCTAAGTAAACGTATTCTGTGCGATATTACAGCGTTAATTGTCGATGCCGACCACGTAGGAATGTTGCCGGAAACGGAGAAATTATGGGTGTACTGGATTGGCGAAGCTCGTATATCATCGGTGAATATATAAATTTCAATTTTTGTCCATTTTTCCTCTTCTTTTGCCCCTTTGACAATCCACGAAAAGTGGCGTTTCTTTTTCCCTCTCGTTTTTCCTTCTCAGTTTGTTTAGCTGAGGAAATTTTTAAATTAAGCCTAGAATTAGTTTCAGAGACGAGTGAGGGGTCAAAGGAATCCACGTCTATTAACACGTCAGTCAATGTGCATACTTTTTACAGTAAATGTCACGTAGAAATTAGAGATCTTTGATCTTTCAGCTTCAAACCGCGTGTTTGTTATAATAATAATTCACGTCACTGCGAACGAGGGTCACTCGAAATGGTACTGCGATAAGATAATCGCGATCCAGCTGTTTTGTAAAAAAAAATTACTCAAATATAAGATCCTTATTGTACATTGATAAATAACTAGACATAGTACAGAAATTAATAAAGGTCGAAATGTCTTATTACATACATAATAATAATAATGATAAGAAGAAGAAGAAGAAAGGCCTCTTATTATAAATTTTCTTCCAACTTCATCTTTTTGCAAGAACGTTATTAATTTTACTAAAAGTCTTTTGAATATTTTACTCAACCACAAATAAGATCATTCAAAATCGTTTTGAAACAAGACAATCACTTGTTTCGGCGGTGAAAAAGAAAAAGAAAAAAAAAAGAGAGATTTGATCAATTATTATAATTTTTCTTTTAAATGTGTTCTGCTAAAAATGAAATGCCAAAGAATGTTATTATATTTTATAAGATTGTTACCTTTATTTTATAAGAATGTTAGTCATTTTACAAGAATTTTCGTAAAAGAGCGTTATTTCAAGATGATTCTTGCACATTTGTTTGCGTTTCTTCTTCTTGCGGATAAACGAAATTAAAAGGAAAAAGACATTTAATGGAAATCATGCAATGAAGGAATTAAATTTGGACATTTTGTGTCAAAGACATTTAATGGAAATCATGCAATGAAGGAATTAAATTTGGACATTTTTTTGAATGGATTGTCAAAGGGTTGTTAATTTCCCTTCATAAGCAACGCGTTTGCACAAAATTCACGACTTGTCGAATTCGTTTCAGTTGAATGAGAAGACGCAAATCGAACCGTTCTCGTCAAACCTCGAGAGCAGACTAACGAAGAACTTAAGCGAAGCGCGAGTACGCGCCATTGACGCAGCTATGCAGGTCTGTTTCTTTCATCTTTTTTTCGTTCACTTTCTGTTGTCACATCCTATATACCCGATTGAGACACAAACGTATCTGTTTCAGATGTTACGCGGCGCGTTGGGCTGCACTTTGACCAAACCTTACTTCACGTGGATCGAGAACAATTTTCCAACTATGATCGAAAGTGAGTAATACGAGTCGTGACCCTGAAAAAAGTTACATAGAGTTACTTTCTGGTATTTATTTTTTTTTTTTTTTTTTGTTGGAGATTTAATTAATTCAGCACTGTTGTTTCACTTAATTATTTTACTGTATTTACTATATTTGTGTTAGGACACTGACGACTATGCTTAGTTCAAAACACTGATATGGAACTTGAACGATTTGATTGCTGATTTTACCAACTGATGTAAATTTATTAATGTTAATTTAATTTCTTTCCCCGTGCATAGTGATGGACGAGCTTAAGTTCTATCCGTATCCAAACAATATACAACGGAGACTCGACACTCTTAGGCAGAAAAATGCCAAAATTACAGAGAAATATCTGCTAGACCAAAAACGTATGTATTTTTAACTTTTCTCATTGTCCTTCCTTCTTTCTTTTTCTACTGAAAACGTCAATTGTGCCTCTCTCTCTCTCTTTTTTGCTCTCAATTTTCTAGGGGAAAGTCAAGGGAAAAAGGTGGTTGAGAAGCCGAAAGAGGTGCCACAACGAAATAACGTAGATTTAACGCGTTTGCCGTTGCAAGAACAGAATCCGGGGATTATAGCGTGGGCTAAAATCGCCGGACACAATTGGTGGCCAGGTAATGCGATTTTAAAGTTCCTCCTTTTACGATATCCTTTCCAGTCTTCCCTTGTTTCAATACTCTTCGTGGATTATACACTGCCTTGTGTAATCTTCGATCGTTTCGATTTTCATTTTGAACAGTGATGGGATCAAATTCGATACGTAGTACTTATTTATATACCGTAAATAATATACGATCTTATTCTTAATCGATTTGTATTAATTTCGATCGGAAGTTAATGATCATAATGAGTCACTCGTTATCATCTTATGGAATCAGCGAATAATTTGTGAAATGAATGGAATTCCAATTGTTTCAAACTAGTCACTTGTTGTTGGTTAACTTAGTTACAGTTATTATTGTTGAAATTAATCATCAGTCAATATCATATTGGTTAATATTGTCTCTGTTAATTTGGACAGATTTTGTTTACTTTGATAATCATATAAGAGATTAAGAGAGATAATGTTGTCTTTAATTTTCAAGTAGTTATCGTGGGATCAAAGATAACTTTGTATTAACTGCGTCAAACTTTTTAATCTAACGTACGATGTCGTTCAATCTGCTTGTGAAATATTGGATATTTACAAGCTGGTCTCGAATTTTTGAATATTTAAGGTCAATTACGTAAAGTCAATTTGGAATCACCTTTTTTTTTTTTTTTGCTATACTCACATTGAATTATTGTAATAATAAAAGTATTATTAACGATGTTCTTTTCTTCTAATCAAATTTTGTACAATTAATTAAAAAGTCTTCTGAAACAGCAGAATTTAAAAGCTAAACTCTTTTTTGAAGGTTTACACGCGTTTCGGGTAAAAATATGTAACCACGTCAAACTTTTTAATCTAACGTACGATATGACTGTTAATAACAAATTTACATTAAAATAACTAAAAAATAAAAACGTGGGAGGGCATCCAATCTGTGTAAAAATATACATTTATATACGTAAATATACATAAAAATATACAACGGATAGCATATTTTATCTGTGTAATATTTATAGCTATCAGTGTAGTTGCAATGTGAATACGTTACAATACGAACTTTATTCTATTATTTACATCTAGACGCTATCATATTTACGATAAGCGTGATAAATTATTTTACATAAAATATACACGTTTATCTAGTCGTAACAGCTATCCTAATGTATTTTATCCTTCTGCTCGTTTACTTTCGCATCTAGACGAGTTACGTTTACGATACAAGTGAACACTACGTTTCAAAGCTGAAACATTCAAACGATCAAGACCAGATTCAGAAACGATCACAGTTCACAGTTTCCAATATGAACAGCTTCGACTCATTACGAAAATGAAAACACGCTCTCTTTATATGTTGCAGCAATGATTATCGATTATCGCGACTGTTGCATGCGAGAACCGAGCTTTGGATGCCAATGGATTATGTGGTACGGTGACTACCAACTTTCAGAGGTAAAAATAATCGAACGTTATTAAACGTTTCGTGGGAAAGGAACCGAAATAATATACAGGATGTTTCGTAACTTGTGGGACACATTTCGGGAGCTGATCGTTCGCCTAAAAATGATGAAAAAAAGTCATATATAAATATATGTCCTATCTGTCTTTGTTTATGAGATATAATGAATTTTCTGTTTTAATTACTATTACAAAAAATGCTCAAAATGACCACCTTGCATTTGAAGACAANGCCTGCACGCGTCTTGTCATTCATCTGATTACTCTCTCTATCATTCCTGGTGTTTCTCGAATTTGTCGGAAGCCTTGCTCTGTTCTATTTCGTAGCATTTCAGCATTTTCGATCGATGTTACGTGTACAATAGATTTTAAATTAAATTCCCGCAAATGAAAATCTAATGGATTCAAATTCGGAGAACGAGCAGGCCATGCAATAGCACCTCCACGACCAATCCATTTATTTGCAAAGTGTTGATTTAAAAATTGCCTAGCCACTCGGCTAAAATTCGGCGGAGCTCCATCATGCATAAACCGCATACGAAGTCTAATATCGACTCGGAACTTCCTCTAATATTTCGTGTAAACGCATGCTCAAAAAATCAACGTACTTTGTGCCTGTTAGTTTTCTATCAAGGAAAAAAGGTCCAATTAAAAATTTATCAATTATTCCTGCTCATACGTTTAAACTAAACTAGTGTTGAATGCGCAATGACATGTGGGTTTTCTTCATCCCAATTATGATTATTATGAAAATTGAATATACCGTCCCTGGTAAAACTAGCTTCATCACTATTGCGGTCTATGGAAAGAGGCAGAGAGTTTGCTCTGTTTATAAAATTCATTATATCTCATAAACGAACGACAGATAGGACATATATTTATGTGACTTTTTTTTCATTATTTTTAGGCGTACAATCAGCTCCCGAAGTGGGTCCCACAAGTTACGAAACATCCTGTGTATCATACGTAGTATCGTTTTTTCAATGATTTTTCATTTACGCACGACAGGTTCATCATCAGTTGTTTATGAAATTCGACAAAGGAATTGAAAAAATGCGCGACTACATAAATAATACGAAGAAGCATTTGTATATGGTCGGAGTTCTTCAAGCGTCCAAAGTATTTATCTGCGCCATTTCAAATCTGTTGTAAGCCACGAAATTCCATCGAGCCATGGTTTTCCAATTTTTTTTTTTTTTTTTTTGTTTTTCTTTTCTTTTAGGATTATTGCTCCCGTATAGGTCTCGAAACCAAGAATTGGACACTAGACGATGCGCTCAAATATTTTTCAAAAGCGAAAAGCTCCCAAGCATCGTCGTGTGATACTACGAAAAAGAAGGATTCCGTCAAAATATACGATAAATATTCAGCTTGCATAGCTGAGAAATTGATCGAGTTGAAGAAGAATACAGATGTTGATGATGAACGGACGGATGTCATAAAGAACAGTGGTAAGTTCTACTTTTTGTATTTGCAAATAATTGGGAACGTTGGACAACAGTGAAGAAACCTGATTGTAACACTGACGCTGAAAAATTCTCGATATTTTAAACTGTTAAATTTGTAAAAAAAAATTGTCCAACAATTATTATAAAAACTATTTTACATAATTATTGTAAAATATTCTATAAACATTGTTTAGTAATCCATAAGTTTCATTTTAAAGCGTAGTCTTCTCGAACCTGATAATCTTGAGTCCATTTTTACATCATATAGCAAATAGGGAAGTAAGGATACTTTCATTCTCAAAAATTTTAAAAATTCAAACATCTCTTGAAACATTGAAAAATTATTTTTGTGGCTATATCTACAACGATGTTGAAGATTGAAGTCTCCCCTTTACTTGCACAATTTTGGTATGAATTGAATATATATTGAACTTTGTATATTAGTATATCATAGGATTAGTTTTAAGTTGAAGTTACGCGATTAAATTCTCAAGATCTTTACGTATTCTAAAATAATTCTCAGTCCATTCTATACACCACCTCATTGAAATGAACATTGTTTCAAAATTAGAAGGATTAAAATAATATTTAATATAAAATATAAGCATTTCTTTCTGTCTAGATGATTTACGTTCAGCGATGAACGGAAACGTCACTTTCAAATCGTTATGTCTAAGGTGTTTGAAAGTTCCTAAGGGTAAAATGGACATTCATCCATTCTTCGAGGGATCTCTATGCAGAGAATGTTCGGTATGGTGGCATTGGTAATATGTACATCGATAACATCACCGCGATGTTGTAATACTTTGGCAATTATTTATGCTTCAAAATCCTATCGTTTCAGGATCACTATAAACCCTGTATGTTTCTCTTCGGCAATGATTCGAAATGCGTAAGTATCCCTGTCAGAATATACTATATTACATATAAGGATAGAGTGACCCAAGGTTTACAGGATTATTACGGACTGAGGTTTTTGATCTTTATCAAGTTAGATGAGATATATTGAAATAATAAATATCTATATTACAGGCTGTGCTTATTGCACAAATCAGAGATGCAAAAAAATTCCATAATTGCAAACAGTAGTTTATCACAATAATAGAAAATAGTTTAGTTTTAAATATTGAATATTAAAATAAGTATAAAGTATAGTATATAAAACAAATATTAATATTATACGATTTGGAAAGAAGAAAAACGAAGAAAATATTGCAAATTCTTCAAATTTTTTCCTATAATATATAAATACAATTTAAGTTTAATAGAATTTAAAATAATGTTTGATCTAAAATAATTAAAAAAATATTGCAAATGAAATCTTATTTTAACACGATATTAACCAATTAATCTATATTTACATGACATATGTTTTATTTAATTATACTATCGCGGTATACTGACAAAGTTTGGCTGTTAAACCTCGGGATACCCACTATGTTCTATACTACATTCAAACGAAATAATTATCAAGATTGATTCGTTGTTGATTGATAGTTTTACTGCACGGTGTGTGCAGCCTCTGGAACGATGATCATATGTGATAAAGAAGATTGTCCAAGGTAAATTCCTTTGTAATTGTCGTTTTTCAAACGTACGAACGAACATTGTCAAACGATTCTTTTTCTAGAGTCTATTGTACTGCTTGCATGAAACATCTGTTATGCCCAACGACGTACGAGCAAGTTCTTCGAGAAGATCCTTGGGAGTGCTTCCTCTGCGCAAAATCTCAATCGTTCACCGATTCGTTTGTCAAGCCTCGAACAAATTGGAAAGCGAAGATAATCAGCATGTTCCGTACAAATTTCAAATCGAACGTGCAACAGCTAGTGAAACGTAATCACGAGAAGAAAAAAATACGTGTGCTATCGTTGTTCGATGGCCTTAGTACAGGTGCTGGATGGAATTCTTATCTTTTCTCCTTTTCATTTCTTCACGTTGCCTAGTCGTTTACTGATTTTTTAGAAAAACGGATGTTTTCAGGCTTACTGGTGCTCCTCAAGTTAGGTATAGCCGTGGACAAGTATTACGCGAGCGAAATCGACCCGGACGCGTTAATGGTGAGTGCTACACATTTTGGCGATCGAGTTATTCATTTGGGCAACGTGAAGGGCATCACGAAGGAAAAGATCAAGGAAATAGCTCCTATCGATTTATTGATCGGTGGATCACCCTGCAATGACCTGAGTTTGGCTAACCCAGCGCGACTTGGTCTCCATGGTTCGCATAGTTATATTAAAATGCACTACCATACGTATATCCTCGTTTACAAACGTTATAAAAATGATATAAAAAAATCAGTAAAATTGTAAGTTTTATAAATTTGTTCCAAGTTAGAAGTTATTTTTAAAAGTAAAACAAGTAGATTCTTTGTTTTGTAAATTAAGAATCAAAAGATCAAATGAATGCAATTTTTATTATTAGTACGTTCGGTATTAGATGAAAAGTATAATGTTTAGAATGATTATCACACTGTGACAATGAATATGTGAATAAGAAATTTCAAATTTATGGGAGGCACAAATATATACAGATATACATACATATGTATGAAAGTATTGATTCAGTATTCTTCAATTATGTTCACAAAAATGAAATTTTATGAATATTTAATGATTATAAATAACATTACGGTGCTATTATTATGCAGAATGATGATATTAAATCAATCAATCTTGTATAATAAAATATTATCATTATAATCTTCACTTTTTATTTTATATTCTTTGATCTTCTGTAGATACAAAAATATTTCAAACTCTTGAGAACATGGATAAAAATGTCGTGAAATTTTGCTTAGAATTATATTTCAAGTCTTATATGAATTATTTCTTTCATATTCTGACTACACCAAAATGTGTTCGAACACTTATAAACGAGGATATACATAAAAACGCGCGTTTTACAGTTTTTCATCACATTGTTGTTTCAGATCCAAAAGGAACTGGTGTTCTTTTCTTCGAGTATAGTCGAATCCTGGATCTAGTAAAGAAAATCAATAATAAACACCATTTATTTTGGTTCTATGAAAACGTCGCTTCGATGCCGACTGAATATAGATTAGAAATTAACAAGTAAGGTTTCCAAAGTTGAACGTTTGGTTTTACAGAATGTTACTGAAAACATTGAAACTTCATTCTGTAACAGACATTTAGGACAAGAACCTGATACGATAGACTCGGCTGATTTTTCCCCTCAACATAGATTGAGGCTATACTGGCATAATTTACCGCTAGAACCACACTCGTTGCCAAATCAAGAACAGCAAGACGTACAGGATATACTTACGCCGCATTGTCAACGTTACTCGCTTGTTAAGAAAATTCGTACTGTTACTACGAAAGTAAACTCGCTAAAGCAAGGTATAATACTTGTTTTTGCACTAGTTTTTTCAATAGTTATATCACTGATAATATAATTATATCTGTAGTAGTTACATCGCTATTCGTCACATTAATTACGTTTTAAATTATTAATGATTTCTTTACATTTGCAGGTAAATTGGCTTTAAAACCAATTCTTATGAAAGACGAAACTGATTCTTTGTGGATAACTGAACTCGAAGAAATATTCGGATTTCCGCGCCATTATACAGACGTGAAGAATTTATCAGCAACAAAAAGGCAAAAATTAATAGGGAAATCTTGGAGCGTCCAAACTTTAACTGCCATTTTTAGGTCTCTCTGTCCCTTTTTTGAGTGCAATACGACTGAAACGAATCGACCATAGTATATTAAGAAAAGTCAAAAGTATTTAAACATAGCATGTGTTTATAAATAGCAAAAATGAAACAATGAAATGTAAACTGTATCTCGCTTTATTTAGTCCACGAGGAGGATACAGCGAGTATGTTTTAATGAATTCCATCAAATCTATTTCCATTTACTTTTAATTTTATTACAATGAAGACAAAACAAATACTTCACAGTATTTTTTACCATTTTTATTTTTTCTATTAAAATTACATCGCATATGCTTTTTTGTCTTTCTTTTCAAATTGTCTGTTTTATTTATGTATACATCAAACATATATGTTTTATACATCTTTTTTTTGTAATAATAAGAAAAACAATATAAACATGTATTCTTGAAAAATAGAAATATCAATGGATGATACATTATACAATCTTTTTTCATGTCAGATTGTTATTGCATCAAGCATTATTTTGTACTTTTTAATACCTCATACGGAAATACCCTCTGCGATGTTCTCGAGACATTGGTGAAACATCATTTCCACCAGTGTAAGGTACATTTTTGAATTGATTAGTCTGTAGCAACGTGACAGGTACTGGTATACATCCCATCAAACAATTTACATACCGCATTGTAGAAACCGGTAATGGTGTATTGATAAATATCTGTTGTCGCTCCATATCAACTCCTCTAATGATACCTGCACACGAAATAATACTATACATTAATTTTAAATTATCAAGTATATACAGAAAGAAAAAAAATACATATTGTTGTGCCTACCAAATCCATAACAAGCGCAAAGGGGTGATCTGTTTAATATACGTGGACCAGCCATGGTTTGATCTGCTCGCAATTCGTTATTATTCACATCGATCCCACACAATGCTACTATATTACCATTTACTACGTTCAACACATGCGACGGTGACACTGATACTTGTGGAATTGAAATGCACAACGATGCAAAAGGCGTTCTGTAGGTGCAGAAATTTTGTATACATCAAAAATTGTTTAATAAATAATTTAATAATACTTTTATCTCGACGCGCGTGAAGAAATGATACTAACACATATGGTACAGCTTTGTTAATGCTTAATGACACAGAATCATAGCGAGTTCTAAAAAAAAAAGATATTAGAGTTATCATTAACATATGTTTCAACAATTCTAAATGTACGAATCGTAAAAACGATTATCAGATAATGTTAATGAAACTTACGAGGAATCAGCAGAGTTTTGTACAATTTCACTAAGATAAGAGATCATTACAAGTTCTCGTTGCTGATACGGTTCCATATTCCAAGTTTCATATCCTGGAGCATTTTTACTTTCCGCGTGTGAACGTACTACGAATAATTCATGATCGCATGGTAGATTTGATTTCGTAACATTTGTACTCCATGTCGGCCACGATACTTGCTATAAATAATGCGTTTCTTCCATCACATCTATTATTTCAGTCATGCTATTGGTGAAATAGTAGCAATTACCTGTCGATTTACTACTTGTTTACTTAAATACTCGATATAATTGTTTTTTGGCTTCTCAGATATAATCTGTACCACGAAAGAAGGTCGAATCAATTTGATTGTAAATAAAATAATGTCCCAACCGAGACCTTGTGGAAAACCCATCGTGTTTATGACGATAGGTAGTCGTGACAAAACTGGACAACTTGACAATTTGTCAACCAACATTTTGATACCATCGATATATCGTGTAATGCATCGCGCCACGTTTACATCTCCGATATATACTTGGAATGCCGGAGTCTTTAAATGCGTGAAATTTGGTCCCATCAAGGGTTGCTCGATCAAACTGTACGATATACAGCCAGCTGGCGTGCATTCTGTTTGTCCTGGATCAACATCAAAAAGAACTACCATTTTAGAAACAGGTAGTAGACTGTTTATCAAATAGCGCATCGTAGTTGATTTTCCAACGCTCTTCCCACCGGCTATTAAAGTACACGACCATTCGTTCGCATTCCAACGGGTCAATATTTTGTCGGCAACTTCTTGTGCAACACGTGGATCAACAATTATTTCTTTGCATGCTTGATTATCAACATAAAGATTCGATTGTAACATTCTTTCAGCCCTTCTGGTGTCAATCCAAGAATGATAGGGTACACTTTTTATTTCCGGGAATAGTTTGAACGGATAAAAGACATGTAAAAATCTAGTCAATTTGTTTTCCAAGTTGGATAACAAGACAATCGTCATGCCAGGTTTAATCTGTTTGACCTCGTCAACCAATTTGTTCTCTTGGTTTTGATCAATACCTTCTTTGGAAAGAAACACCCAAATATCTGACTCGACATTTTGCGAAAATTTTTCGCTCGCTTTGATCGAAACATTACTGTACCCTCTGGGTGAATAAATTTCAATTGGATTCTTCTGTGTAGTAATAACGTATCCGTAAACTTCTATTGCACCATATATCACTTGCACGATTAATTTTCCAGTGAAACAAAATCGTGCATCTTTTGACATAACGACGGCTACCTTGGTCTGTAAGCAATAAAATCGTATTGATTGCTGATTAGTAAGAAGAGTTTCTTTATAACTTGAAGCTTCCATTTTGAAAGTATTGTCCTGTATATTATTGACAACAGAGCCACTATTTCCTTCGATTTCACAGACATCGAATTTTTTAGCTTCTCCAACAATAGAGCCACTATTTCCTTCGATTTCACAGACATCAGATTTTTTAGCTTCTCCAATAGAGAGAAGAGTTTCTTTATAACTTGAAGCTTCCATTTTGAAAGCATTGTCCTGTATATTATTGACAACAGAGCCACTATTTCCTTCGATTTCACAGACATCGGATTTTTTAGCTTCTCCAACAATAGAGCTACTATTTCCTTCGATTTCACAGATATCGGATTTTTTAGCTTCTCCAACCAAAGCTAAATGTTTTCCTGGACTAGTAAGTGTATCACAATCGTTACTTTGCAATTGCTTCTTATCCTTGGGTAATTCGCGATTATTCTTAGATGGTGATACAACGTTGGTATCATTTCTTTGACTGCATGAACTGTTTGAATTTAACGATTCAGCAACAATGACAGAGGTATCACTCTTCAGATTCGATATATGTAAATGACTACTGTTGAATACATTGTTTTTCATTCTTGCTAGTTGTCCTTGTTGTTTAAATAATTCAGGTATACTGTGTGTGTCTTTCATTCTTCTTAGTTGTCCTTGTTGTTTAAATAATTCAGGTATACTGAGCGAGGATAAATCTTCCGACAGAGCTTCTATTATCACAGGCGAACCTATGGTTTTTTGCTTTGAAACATCAGTGTGGTGCTTCTTATTTGTGTCTTTGGTTAATTGTGCTTCCGCAGAGCCATCGCTCTGGAAGGAAAGATCCATAGAATCTGAAATTTAAGCAACCCGTTTCCATAATGGTATTCGGTACTTCAACATAGATATTATACCATATTTTATCTTCAACCTGCAAATAGCATGCGACATTTATCCCGGTTTATGAAAACGATCAAACGCGATTTCAAACAGTGTCTTTAGAAAACGTGTAAATTACTTACGTTCGGCTCCGTTTACATCAGCGGGTTTTTTCTTTCTTCGTTTTAAATTGCACTGCAAGAGCAATTGTTTTGTGTTCAACGAATCTTCAGGTAGTGGACTGTTTTCCACAACATTTCTACTTCCGTTCAAAGAGCTCATATTTGATCATTTAATAAACTACTTTCCTTTTTCTTGGGCTTGTTTCGTGCTTTATATTCCGGCAATTTCCTAAATTTGAAACTCCTTAAACGAGACAGCACACGTTTTGGGAAAAACTTTGGGATAAACCTTGGGGAATACCTTAATCACAAACGCAACAGATAAAATTGTTAAGAGGCATTCTAATCGGTCGACGTTTTACTCACGCTTTAGTTCGTTTCGCGCCAATTTTCAAAATTTTTATCTTTAATTTTTTCGTTTGCGTCGTTCTCATTCTCGTATCTCGTGAAATTCGATCGCGAAGCGAGAAAGTTCAAATCATCGGAGGACACGTTTTTCATAACTAATTTCAAAATAAACCAATATTACGGTCAGTTTTCATGGAGAAACTTATGTGGTTGTGACAAAAAGCGCATGCGCGTTGTATGTGTGTATACTCATACCTTGTTTTTTATTTAAGTTACAGATTTCATTGAACCTCTCTAAGGATCGAATGGAAACGCGCCTTGCGGGTGTATTCGAAGAAGGATGACAGGGCGGCTTTTCAGCGACGCATTACGGCTACTATAGTTACCATCCAATGTTAACGACACAGAATCGTGAAAGTGTATTTAGCGATTTCGCGTTAATATTCACGGAAAATGGAGTTACCAGTTACATACTGTTTATGTGGCCGTTCTTACGATTTCGAACAATTTATGATACAATGTGACGTTTGTAAAGAGTGGTATCATGGAGGGTAAGTGTTCGAAATTCTGACAATTAAAAATAACAATCCAAACATCGTGGCAAGCTCATGCTCACGAAAACTAAATATAAACGTATTTCGGCTCCCATTCTGCAAGAAACCATCAAGCAATTTGATCATTTTACTATAATTTTCCTGCCGCAACGCTTTACATAAAAGTAACAATTTATAAGACAGTTTTTACAGCAAAAGAATTAGGTTTTGTTGATACTTACATAACCTATCCTAACGATGCGTTACTTTTTGATACAAAAGAAAATTACAGTCGCGTAATAGATTTTATGATTATTTGATATACGAAATAAAACATGTTGGTAGTATTAATGAAGTAATTTTCATACTTTTTCTTTTTACAGATGTGTTTCTATAAAGGAGTATATGTCCATAGATCTCGACAAATACCATTGTCCTCGTTGTGAAGCAATGTGCGGACCGTCGCTTAGTGAGTATATAGAAATTGCACTTTTTCCCTGTACTATATATTTACATGATCTACAGTTTTATATTATTTGAATGACAATTGTTTACTATAGTGAAAGCAAGATTGAACTGGCATAGACATGATTATTCTGAAACTGATGCAGACACAAAGCCAGTTCAAACTGGCACGCCAGTATTTATAAGAGAATTAAAATCTAGACATTTTCCAAAAGCTGATGAAGTTGTTAAATATGTGAGAGGACAACAATTGACTCTGCAACATTTACAAGCCAATGGCTTTGAAAATCCTATTATAATTGATGGGAAGGATGGACTCGACATGATTGTTCCACCACCAAACTTCAGTGTTTATGACGTCGAAAGTTACATAGGTACAAATCTTTTGCACATGTGAACGTTTATATTAATGTTATGTATGAAAAATTTGTGTTAAATGCAGCTGCAATTTTCTTTCAGGCGGAGATCGTGATATGGATGTAATCGATGTTACAAGACAAAGTAATATCAGAATGAAATTAAGAGACTTTGTTGAATATTACAATTCCCCTTGCAGGACAAGGGTTCTTAATGTGATTAGTCTTGAATTTACAAATACTGGGTATATCAATATTAATTGCCTTGCAACATATTGACTTTAAACTAATGTGTATATATAATATATGTAACTAATATGTATATATAAGTGATATATAAATTGACAAATAAACGTTGCAGTCTTTCTCCAATGATCGAGGCACCATACATCGCGCGTAAACTCGACTGGGTTAATTCTGTTTGGCCGCGTGATTGGCCCGAGGACAATGACATAAAACGCCCCGAAGTACAAAAGTATTGTCTAATGGGTGTCAAAGACAGTTTCACAGATTTTCACATTGATTTCGGTGGTACATCTGTGTGGTATCACGTGCTGCGCGGAGAAAAAGTGTTTTATCTAATTAGGCCTACGCCCGCAAATTTACAACTTTATCAGCATTGGATGTGTAGTTCAACACAGAGTGAAACTTTCTTTGGAGATCAAGCCGACGCGTGTTACAAATGCGTTATAAAACAAGGTCAGACCATGATGATTCCAACAGGATGGATACACGCTGTATTAACTCCAGTTGATTCTTTGGTTTTTGGTGGAAATTTTGTACATAGTCTTAACATTCCGATGCAAATACAGTGAGTACATAAACGGCTGATAGTAATCATTGATTGAAAGATCATTTCAACTATTTCGTTTAATCTTTAACATCATAGAATATACGAATTGGAAAAAAAAATGAAGACGCCTGCCAAATTTCAATATCCTGGCTTTGAGACAATCAATTGGTTTGCTGCAAAAAAGTTATTGAAAGAATTAAAAGAATTGAATAACGAAGGAAAGAAATGTCCAGCATATCTTTTACAGGGTGTTAAAGCGTTACTCAGTATTCTGAAACAGTGGAACACAGATAAGGATGTAAGCTCACTTTTTTGGTGATAAAATTATTCTATCATGGATTATACATTGCACGAATGTTTTTAAATTATTTATATTTTAGTATAATATGACTAGTAGAAGTCAAATACCGGAAACCATAAATAGTCAGAAATTATTGAAAGATTTCAGTAAGGAAATTCGACATGCCGAGCGATATTTAATATCTTTAAATCCTCCGAAACCAGAACGAGAAAGTAAACGCAAGAAAAAGAAACCGTTGAATAAAGATTTTGTAGATTATGATGTCGCCGATAGAATGGCTGATAATCCGTTTAAAGCAACATTAAAAGAAACAAATAAAGCGAATTCTACAATCGCAGAATCACCGTCATCTGGCAGACCACCGTTAAAACTCACATTACCAAAACCCATTATGTATTCGTACGTCAAAACTCAAAGTCCAACGTTGGAAGAAAAAAATACTTCTCCTGTTAATAACAAACGATCGTCGAAACCGGGAAAACAAAGCCCAACCGTAATTAGATTCAAGCTTGGCAATAATGAGGTCGTCAGGAGTACACATGATGACATAAATACATATAATAATTTAACTTCCGACCATCCTCTTGGGGCGTCAAAAGAATTAACCTGGAAGCAAACGTCTATATATGATTTTCACGACGGCAGCAGTGAGAGCGACTATGGTCGATTCACTATCGATGAATCACCAAAACGAAAGAGAACACCTAAGACTAGCGCGCAAAAGCGATTAAAACGGGATTACGATGGGGATGTAGATGTTTTAAACGATGTACCAAAAAATGGAATCGAAGAATTACTGAAAGCCTCGGCTTATACTTTGGGAAATGGTGCTCAAAGATTAGATGTAACGTAGGTATTAATCGTTTGTCAAATCGAAGTATTTTTCATCTTTTAACAAACGTTTATATGATTATAGGACTCCAATGATACCACAATATAGTCAACCTATGCCACCACCTACTGGGTAAGATAATATTAAAAGTTAATATGTTTGACGAATTTATTTAAAAAAGCATGTTTAATATCATTTTATTGTTACATGTATTCTCTTTTTTTCTTTGATGTCGAAAGAAAAGATCTATTGTGAGCATGTATATATGAATGGGCGCGCGTGTGTGTATTTTTTAATAGCATAGCACTGTTGTTTTACGTTTTTGGTGTCCTAGTATTTATAAATTGAAAACAACCAGTTCTGGTAGGGCATCTCCATCGACACGAGAAGCAATTGCTGGGATGTTATCCTTCAGTGAACAATGTTACTCGACTACATCCAATAGTACATCTAAATCTACAAAAATTACTAAAGTTCACAGTGAGGATGACGATCAATCGATAGAAAACATCGATAAAGTTCATCAGGATGATGATTTCAGTACGTGAAATTATAAAAAGTTTCTACCATTCCTTTGTACACATACATTTATCTTAATAATTATAATTATAACATATATTTTCGATATAGTTTATCCGGCTTTAGACGCTTCGGACGACGAAGATTATATCTTTAAGCCTAAAGCAAAGAGTCAAATAGACGAGGCATGGAATCCAAAAGCTAGAGTAGGACCTCTTTTGCCAAAAACGAACCGTCCAGCTCGAGAAGGTGTCAAGAAAACATCTGTTGAAAAAGGACTTGAAGCAGCGGCAGCAAAACGTGCAAAACAATCAGTATGTAAAAATTTATTTTTTTTTTTCTTTTTATTGGTGTCATTATCATCATCATCATCGTCATCGTCATTATTATATTGATTGTCAAATTAATTAATAATCAAATTAATTTTTAACTCAATAGATAGATTCCTTTCTATAACACAAATTAACTCATTTATCATTTTATGTACGATTCTATGTTTACATTCATCTGTATTCCCATTATTTCTTTCTTGCATACTCATATCGCATAGGACGATTATCTGGATAACAACATGGATAAGGGCTCCAAGAAGAAATTGGTAGGCATATTACGGTTTCATTTTTCGTTTCATAACATGTGCTGCATGTATCTTGAATATGATTTAATATTATTGTGTTTTATTATATTATCATAGTATTGACAAAATTAATACGTTGTACATATAATTCTACGATGCGCGGCTGTTACAATATATTTTATTAAGCATTTGTTTGTAAAATGTACTCCTTATGATTATATTACCTTTCGTTTCGTTGAACGATATCTAATTTATCTTTATTTGGTATAACATAATAGAGTTCAACTAAGCGGACATATAATAAAAAGAAGCAAAAAAATTCATCTGTGACTTCAGCAACTGGTACGTCGACCACATCATCGGAAAATACAACAAAAACTAGCATCGGTTTTGGATCGATATTAACTAGTCCTAACAGACTCAAGGATGTTAAAGCGAAACTAGCCGCTCCAGTTCCAGTTGGTAATATATTTCCAACTTTAGTATATTTTTTCCTTTGGTACTTGATTAAAATCATTTTCATATTTTATGTTATTTTATTTAATTTTCAGAACGAAAACCAAAGAAAGGCATGAAAACGGCTAAACAACGCTTAGGAAAAATTTTGAAACTTCATAAAATGATGCACTAAGTTAACAAAAAGAATTAAGCGTAATGAACAATACATCACATCATTCTTTCTAGTTTGTACAAACTATGTAGTAGGTGTACATTGCTATGTAAATATGTTAAAATCATTAAGATAGCATATCTATCTTAAAAATCTAATTTTTAAAATTCGATCGTTTTTTTAACGAAATATTTATATTTATTATTGCAGTATTTAATTTTAAGGTGATATACATACAGAGTGTCTTATTTTAACTCATCCATGTAACTATTTATTCGAGAAAATGATTGAGATTTTAAAATCGTACAAAAGACAAGGAAAGACAGAAATTCTTGTGTTCATATTGTCCTTGTCCTTTATACAGGGTGTTTCGTAACTTGTGGGATCTACTCCAGGAGCTGATTGTACCTAAAAATAATGAAAAAAAGCCATATAAATATATATACTATCTGTCTTCGTTTATAAGATATAATGAATTTTTTGTTTTAATTACTTTTACAAAAGATGCTCGAAATGACAACCTTGCATTTGAAGACAAGCCTAAACAAGTGTTGATTTAAAAATTGCCTAGCCACTCGACTAAAATGCGGCGGAGCTCATTCAATCATGCATAAATCGAATACCGCATTTTAAATGAACACTTTGCAAATAAATGGATTGGTCGTGGAGGTCCTATTGCATTGCCTGCTCGTTCTTCCGATTTGAATCCATTAGATTTTCATTTGTGGGGACATTTAAAATCTATTGTATACACAACATCGATTGAAAATGTTGAAATATTACGAAATAGAATAGAGCAAGGCTTCCGACAAATTCGAGAAACACCAGGAACGATAGAGAGAGTAACCAGACCAATGACAAGACGCGTGCAGGCTTGTCTTCAAATGGTTATTTCGAGCATCTTTTGTAAAAGTAATTAAAACAGAAATTATATCTCATAAACGAAGACAGATAGGACATATATTTATACGACTTTTTTTCATTATGTTTAGGCGTACAATCAGTTCCCGAAATAGGTCCCACAAGTTACGAAACACCCTATATAATAGGCTTTATCAAATAAAATTTAAAATATTTCCTAAACTAGTAATTTTTCGACATAGGTTAATACTTTTAAATTAGAGAATATGCTGCATCGATTAATGCATAAAAAATATGTGACTTTATTTAAGAAAGTGAAGGCCACCTTGAGATCTCGTAAATCCCTCCACTTGGACAAAAATCTGGTAATCATCATAAGATGTTCCCAAAGAAAAAAAATTTTTTTTTTTAAATAATAAATAGTTGTAGAAATTGCATGGATGGATTAAAATGGGACCTTGTATATATTATATGTTTTGATACTTGACTACTTCTTGACTAAATAAGAGGTTATTTATGTTGTAGCGAATACTTACTTTTCCTAAATGTACGATTTCATTTTAGAATCTTACTCGTTAATCTATTCATTACAATAACTCACACACAAAAAAAACATTGTCAATCGATATAAGTGTAAAAAAATCTGTAGTATATTAAATCTTTTTCAATTAGCTATATGATAGTTATAACAAATTTTTTATAACATAATAACTGCACGACAACGAAAAAAAATGGGATAAGCGTCCTGCTCTATACATATATTTATTTAGAACTCATTTTGATCATGTGCTTTACGTTACATTCACGCCTCGTACTTATCTCTACCTTCAATTTATATTAAATTATATTCACTTTAATATATTATAATATTTAATAATTTATTCAAGCACCTATATTTTACATATTCGTACAAACACATTTTACAGTACAACTTATTTTCAATTTGATAAACTATGTAATCCCTTTATATATATATAATCTTAATATTTTGTAATTGATCATATCTGTGTATCAAGGAATACAAACATTGCACACACATATACACATATAGATTGTTGCTACCTATTTGTTTATTATTAGTTTCATTTATATGTAGAATCATTAATTGAAAGATGGCACTAATTAGAAAAAGACCATACCATTAATATAAATTTTCTCAATGATGTATACAATATGTTTTTCTTTTTTTTTTTTACGATTGCCAAATTGTGCGTTCATTATAATATTTATAGATGCGATGTATGAAAATTATTATTAATAGATAAATACATATATTTCGTATTTCCCGCTGCATATAGGACGCAAAGGAAATGTAAACGCATGCGCGCAATTATCTGTACTCAGCAGTATTCAGTAGTACCTCGAGCGTGGTGCTGGTCATTTTGTAAAATTTGTCGTTTAATCTGAGGAGTTTCCACGTGAACGCCTATCGACCGTTCGTTCACCGTGTCGTTCGCTAATAATATCCGCAAGTGTATATTTCAACAGTTCCGTCGTGATCAACAACTGTGTTCCAATCAGTGTCAATTCGTGTCTTCTCTTCGAGAAAATTTCTAGATTTATGGTGTTTTAAATACGTACGTGCGCGTGTGTACGTCAGTACGATATAGAACATGCATATAGTGTGTAAATCATAAAACGATCATGAGCTAGTGGAATCAATAGTAGAAAAGAAATTGTGATATGCGATAATACCGACTGGGACGTGAATTGTTTCCTTTCGACCGCGTGGAATATTCAAGACGCTGTCGCGTGTACTTGACGTTCACGAGGTAAGTGATACGCGTGCATTTTTAAACGTCAACGTTCAAATAAATATCCTCGGACATAAAGAAGATTCGCATCTTGTCTCATCCAATCAAATAATTGTTATGTATGCAACGTAACATAATCTTAATTTTTGGTACAATTAAGCAAAATGCGCAATGCGATCTTTTAAATGAAACATATTTGGAAGAATTATGAAAGATTTCGAATTGTTCATTTAAGCTTGATAGCATCTTATTTAAGTATCATTAACGGTAATTTGCAAAATTATCGTTATCAAGTATTTACATAGTGATTTCCGTCTCTGCAGTAATACTTCTATATATTACTTTGAACTTGAAATAGACGTCACGAGAATTTGTTTCCTCCAAAATTAAACTGCATTGCAGTTAAAAAATTATTATTAGACGATAATCTAAATAACATTTCATATAGCAAATATCAAGCACGATGATTTGTACAGACTCACGTAGTTATATACATATATTCCGTTTCGCATATTTGATACAATGATTTTTCAACTATTGTAAACAATATTGTCGAATCGCTTTTATGACAGGTCATACTAATTTATAATAATAAAAAAATGGATTTTCTCACAAACAAAAACTTTATATAACACTTTACAAATCAACATAAATAATTCTGCAATAGTATTATACAATCATAAACAAGATAACAGCATAGATCTCAAACCCAATGCATCCTTATGTCATATAGTCCGGAGACTTTACACTGTGCATATTGTAAAGATATTTTTATGTTATTTTTAACACTATTCGAAGCGATATCGTGCGTGTAATTTATATAAAAAAAATATTAATTGTCGAAATTCGCTGTGAGTAAATGTCTGTGTGCGAAAGTCCTGTTTCAAATAAAATAATAAAATAAGAGACATCTTGTTCGAGTTTTTAGCTTAAGTTACATACAACACTAAAAAAAAAGGTAACATTCTATACTTAATATTTTTTTATAAGAACTTAGAAATATAATCGTGTTACACTAATAATTCAAAATTCATAACGATATTGTAGCAGTTGTATTATGTAAGTAAAGATAACATTAATAAGAATTATCTTAGGTTTAGTAATAGTATATATATGTGTACTTATATTCATTGTGAATTGTCCCAACAAATGTCAAAAAAATGTGTACATATAAAATTCGTGAAGTCAAAACGATTTTTATATATATTACGATATAAATGATTTTATTATATTATAGCGAAATTTTTATATTTATATACATTTTTATATAAATATAATATTTATATTTTTTTTATATACGAAAGACAGGAATATTTCTCAAGAATCAAACTGTGAAATCATATACAGAAATTTGATAAACATATTATTAAAAAGTATAGATAAAATAACTCTTTCGTCAAACCAAATACTAAGTTACAAGTATAGTAATTTATTATTGTATTTATAGTTACTAAAGTTTTGTATTTTATATTTTGTATTCTTCCTGGTAGGATTTAAATTGAATTCAAACTTTTAAAAGTAAATAATTAAACAAAAAAAATATACAACAAATCTTTGGAATTTTATTTCATAATTACAATGTGAATTTAATATTGAGAATTGATTAAAAATAAATTGTACACGATAACTAACTCAACGTTGGTCTGTAATGTGTTAAAAATGTGATATTATTAAGGAACAAAAAAATTTGTGAGGAACAAAAGAAGTGCAAGAGATAAAAAAATTAAAGTTATTTTAAAAGTTATTATTTCATTTTTATTTTATCGTTAAATATTATTTTAAAAAATTACGTACAATTTATGCAAATTAAAAATAAATAAATTATTATACAGTAGATTACAACTGTGTACTTAGAAAGTCGTAAGATGATCATCGAATAATCAAATCGTAAAATGCCACATAAAAGTTCAGCGAAAACTGAAGTTAATTAAATTAAAGTTTCGAATCAACGTGAAATTGTGCAAAGAATTTAAAATATCGCGCTACTATTATAGAACTAATTTCCAAAACAATCTTTCGAATCTTGTGAATATCAACATTTCGAATAAATATAAAATAAAAGAAGTTTGTATAATTAGCTCGAATGGAACCGCTGGAATTACTTGGTAATTGCCCCAAATTATTTTGATTTAACGTAACATTGTATAATTTGATCTATTGAAACAGAACGATATAGTATTTCTATTTCATAGTATGTTTCAATTTCAATTTCGAGCTAATCATTTCGCATATCACGCTCGCGCGATTCGTGTTTATATATTGTACGCGTAGCGTGAAATTAATTGGAAAGTTAAGATAAAGATGTTGAGGATCATTCGCTTGATTGTTTAGTGATGCTGGTTGTTTGGCAAGGAGCACGCCGTTGCCTGAGTTGCAGCGGGCAGCGCACTCATCAAGGCTACCAACTGCGTCGTCATCGTGGTTCACTCGGTGATAAACTTGATCGATATCAAATCGGAACTCGGTAAGTTAGCCTGTGTAAACAAGTGGCAATTGATACGCGTGCAAATTTCGTTAGGCACATATTTCATCGTACTAACGTAAAATCTCTCCGTCGATTCGCGCGATCGTACTTTACACGCATAAAACTAATTGGACGTTCAACAACGATCGAGATAATCTGCCATGTCTAGGTTCTCGCGAGTTTTATATAATTACGTTTCAATGATTTCCCCTTTCTCTTTATTTGTCGCCTCATCCAGTCAATTTCATCCAGCCCGAAAATTAATTAATAATGAAAAAAAATCAGCGGAGAGTGGAGAGTAAAAGTTATCTCGCGGTCCAAAGTTCAATGCAAGCGCCTTATTAGTTATTACGGCATTTTAAATCAATTGAACGCCGGACACTGGTAAATCACATTTCAGTATTACGTATACGGTCACATATATATATATATATATATATCCAAATATATATATATTTGGTCGTGCAAGCGCACAAACGCACACGCGCGAAGAACTCTGGACACTGTGTCAACGTACTTGGAGACCCGAGTAATCCTCCACTCTCGTTGACCCGACCAATTGATCGAATCGTTTAATCGTGGAAAAATTTTATGCTAAAGACATTGCTACAAACATCTCGTGATAATTTCAAGCACGTGCTGTCTCGATGACTTTGCCAGGAAAATGTAAATATGAATGATTCGTCACTTGGAATCACTCGGTTTACGACTGTGTAAGAACTATCACCCCATGACGTGATTCGGCTTCTCGTACGATTATTTTCTCGTTCAACTTGTTCATACAGTCAAAGTGTATTTGTGTTAATGTTGAGAAATAATTCCTTGTTTTATCATTGCTCGCTAGAATTTCAAATGAAAGACGAAATTACATGTAAATCGGACAGAAAACCGAGTACGTCGATCACTCGATGCGCGTAAGTTTTGATTACGTGGCAACTCGCATTGTATTAGGAAAATCAGTTGACTAGTCACGCGAAATCACTGACATTAAAAATCTACCATCCTTTGTGCTCCAATTTATTTTTCTCAGTCCACCGGATAAGTTCAATTGAACAATGACAATTAGGAGAACCGATGTTAATTGAAATTATTATCGTTAAATGTCTTTGATTTGTTACATTGCAGAGACAGGGGACAAGTTGAAATGATGATTCACTAATTGATGGTTGATATCCCTATGATTTCTACTTTAGTAAGATTAATAAATATAACTTACTAAATATAACCTACACAAAATATTATTACAAATTCTTCTCATAAAGGAAATAAATTTTCTTACTCTTTTCTCTAATACATATTGGCAACAAGTATTGATATAATTTGATAAGAAAAACAAATACTTATAATTAACTTCTTGCACAATTGAATATCAATTGAATGTTAGTGAAACTTTACTTTCAAGCAAGCTGATATGAAAAAAATCATGGTAGTTTAAAAGAAAGTGATCAACCAAAGATTTTCTTCTGCTTATATTATGAAGATTTCTGTTCTACATGTTTATTTCATTAAAAGATGTTGAAATGATGGATGCGCTGCACGAAATCCACTCAATGAAATTTTTTCCAACATCTGTTGACCAGTTTTCTCCCCATAAAAAATAAATAACTTATAGAAACATTGTAATAGAAAACATATAAGAAAGAATTCTGTGCATGCATCTGCTGCCATTCCTCCAGCTAAGAAGGAACGTGTGACCTCATCTTTTATGTATCGTATTCGAAAAAACCTTGAAACTAATGGAAACTAAATTGAACGTCTCTTGTAAAATGAACATTTAGAAGAAAAATAAGAAAACTTTCGATGAATTAATTTTCTCCGAATTATCATAATTTTTTCATACCAGGTCATTTGAAAGTCATTGTACGATACACGTCTGAAATGCATTTTAAGCTACAATAGCACGGAGAGAAAAATATCTCGTTAGTTATTATACTATTTAAAAAAACAACCATGTCCCTGAAAACTCGGAAAAAAAAATTTTGTTGGGAAAAAATCATGAACCGCCAATGTTTGTCGTTTGAAACTAAATAATCTTATCCTGGCATATTTCTTCGTATCGGCAAAAATAACGATACTGAAGCAAAATAAAAGAGACGCCCTGTGTGATAGATTCTAGAAAACGAATCACTGTAATAGGTCGTGGCAGATACGTAATTATCACGTACTAGCGAAACATGTCGAGGGGTATATAAAAGTTCTCCCGATTCACGCCGGTGCGTCAGTGAGCAATTGGACGTCGGAGCGTCCGTACCTCTCGAAGGTTGCGCTCCCTCGTTGCCAGTGCTATATACACACGACTCGTTGCGGTGTGCTCGTATTGTTTCCGTTATTTCAACTCTTTGGATAACAATTTCTTCTTGCTTAAACGCGTCGTCGTTGCCGACGTGCATCATTTCGTGCTTATACTCTTCGATCGGCTGTTGAAGCAGCGCAATCGAGTTAGAAAATAGTTGTGAAACAGATAGAAGTGGTACCTAACCTCTAACGATATTAGCTTCGTGACAAGAGATATTCGACACTGTCACAACCGAGAAGTCACGTGTATTGGAACAGTGTGATGTTTAGCGTGCACGCGATTCCTTCTTGCGACATGTTTACGATCTAAAATTACAACAGTGCAAATAACTTGGAACGAAACGAATCATCGATGAGAATCACATTCAATGTGACTCAAAGTTGATGTTTACTCTGCTTTACTTGTGCCTCGATTTCTGCAAGGATCTTTCCTCGGAATAGTGTCGAGGTTAAAGACGCTTCGAAAGAGAGTCTGAGGCCGTTTCAGACTGGTATGTATAAAACATCGTTTCATTCGAAACAGATTCGTTCACAAACAGACAGAGCTTTATAGATACCTAGTTTCCTTTTACTGTTTTATGCACCTAATCTTGTAATTACCGTTGCTGTTCCTATTTTATCGCCAATTTGATAACGCTTGCAAGCACTCGAAGTCGAGTTGATTTGCTAAAAAAGACAATCCTTTGCTCGGGTAACTGTATGTTTATGTAACCGTTACGATAAGATAAACTGGGATATCGACATAGGATCTGCTGTTAAAAGAGTCTGAGATTTATTTGAGGTGTATCTTTATGCAGCATCAATTATTCTATCGCGATCAAAGAGAGGGCACTTGCGTTGTAAATGTATGCTGTGGTAACGCGTTCATATGGCACGTGGTATCTTCGGTTTCTTTCGTACCGATTCGGTAACTCTCGGTACATTTGAATTTATTTGCATAGATCAATCGGTAAAAGTGGCAAATCTTTAAAAAATTATCTTATTACGAAAAGGAAAAAAGGGGAAAAAAAGCAAATAACATTGAAAACGTCTTTAATCATTCTTACTTACGTACATCCTGTTTGGCGAATCTGTTTAATCCATTGTGCAAAAAATTGACGAGATGTCGCGAGCAAAAAAATTGGTACAAATTACCAATTCTCGCGATTGCGGAAATTATTACATATCAATAATACTAAATAAACTCCCTCCCCCATAATGTGTCAATTGAATTAGTAAGTAAAACTAGAACTGTAAAAACGAAAGTTTTGCTCGTTTATGGCCGAGATAAAATTAGTGAATGATTCGTATCGCGGGCACGTGTTTCGTCTTCGGTTGTTTTCGCTGATCACCGCGCAAACTCGATGTCTGGCTAGTCGCCACGATGCACACACATACACGTTGATACAAACCAGTTCATACTGGGTTGTCCGTGAGTCTAGATCGAGTTCGAACGTAAGTGGAAAGATTAAAAAAAAGAAAGTTCTTGCAGATAATGTTTTATTTGTTCAACGTGTCCAATTACTTTTCTAGTTCTTCAAACCTATGCGATTCCCGTTACTGTTACAAATTTCGCCAATTACACAGCTGTTCTTTCTGAGATAACTTTCGTAGACACGCGTGCGTACCTGCTGTTTTTTTTTTTTTTTTTTTTTTTTTAATCGAGAAAATGAGCATTTGGTAAACGTAAAACAAAAGGAAAAGGGGAAAGAAAGACAGAAAGGGCGATAAAACGAAAGAATGAGCAAGAGAAAGGAAGGAGAGGGTGGGATGGAGCGAGAGAGAGAATAAAAGAGGGAGTGGGAAAGAGAGGAGAGCGAGAGACCACCGTCTGGACGGGTAGAGGTGTACACTTGGATACTCTCGGTCAGTCACATACGCAACGCGGAACGGTGAATACGTTTCCATTTCTCTGCAACGAGCCGATTAATTTCGTCATCGAGCGTATCTACGTGTGTAAACGTTCGTACTACATATTTCGTTGATCGTTGATTCGTATCGCGTGTGCTTTCGCTTTCAAGATTGTGCGATTCGTTTCCTTTTTTTTTTTTTTTTTTTTTTTTTTTTTTTTAATCGAGAAAATGAGCATTTGGTAAACGTAAAACAAAAGGAAAAGGGGAAAGAAAGNCCTTTTTTTTTTTTTTTTTTTTTCGACCTTAAGAGTGGTTAGCCGGGATTGTGGGTGGCCTCTCTTACATACTAATTTTTCCTTTCCTCCATCTGGTTCGGCGATAGAATAGACAAAAGGTACGTTCATCTTCTGCGAGAAAGAGTAAAACGACGTCGATCCTCTGTGTGACGACTTCTCTCCCCGATGTCAATCAGAAACACGTGTGCTAACGTTCGTCGCTACAAGAACTCGATTTTTTTTTAGACCATCTTATATAATATTTTTTTGATCTTCAATAAATGAACCGTTGTAGATACATATCAGAGGTAAATTTTTATAAGTTCGAAATTATATGAAATCAAAGACAAAGGATATTTCACACGCAATTGTAGTCGTTAAACGAATCAATGCTAACACGCGCGTATATGCCATACCGCTTTCGCATAGAAAATGAGAAGGAAAGACAGCCTTGAATTTGCTATTTCGTTTTTATACACGTATTTACTGGTAAGATCGCGTTAGAACGTTTCAGTGGTCTTGCTATTTGTCGAATAGATAATAAAGAGATAGAAAAAGAACGATATCCTTTTCGAGATTACATTTCTTTTGTGGCAAAATGAGCGAGAGTGTTCAAACAACGTCCTCGCACCCATTGATGTAGCTTATATTAATTTCAATAAAAATTTCATCTTGCCTTAAGTAACGTTAGATTATAATGTTAGTGTGGCAACGTCACAATTGAAAAGTTGCCAGAATTTCAAAGTAAGTTAGCGGGTCGACCTAATGGTATTATTAGATTTCATGTTGTGAACTTATTCCGTAGCAAAGATTTGCGACCCCCTCCCCCCTCTTTGACAGCAGACGAGTTAATTGACTAAAGGAGACTGTGTGTATCAAGTGACGGAATGTATTTATTGTTATAAAGTTATAAAATTTTTTTTTCTTTTTAACTAACTACAAATCAAAATTACAATCGAGAAAACACAATCGCAAAGTTAACTTGGTCACGCGTCACAAGTGTCAATGATGCTCGGGGGACCCGGCGATCAGAGAAAGCGTTGTATGACGCGCCTTCGGAAAACTTGATCTCCGATTGGTCGAATTGGTAGGCGTTGGTTTCAAGGTGTTTCGTGATTGGTCGAACCGATCATCAACCAAGGGGGCTCGATCTTCAGCGATTCTCATTCCCTTTTCCTTCTTCTTCCTCTTTCTCATCTGCGACTATTCAACTTATGATTCTGCTCCTCAAAAATGAAAAAAAAAGAAACGCAAATGTATAAGTAATCTTTTACAAGGTCGTAAAATTTTCCTACTTCAGACGTTTGCATCGTTCGCTTCACATCGATGTATCGATGTCAAGTTCGAAGGATCAAGGGTATCCAGTGGCGATCAGTTTCACTATTTTCCATGCGTTTTAATGATGATACTATTTTGCACGATACCACCGTCGTGACGAAACTTTGGTTATCTACTAACGAGCAGGTTATTTTAACACTTGTGACGTAATAAAACGCGCTGAGAGACTTTGTACAATCTCGAACGATGATATATGTGCTCACTGACGTTGCAGTTTCAGTCTCGACATTTTCGTATGATATGCTTGGTGTTCGATAAAGACGTCTTCGTCGAAATTCTTTTTTTTTTTTTTTTTTTTTTAAAAAAAAAAAAAAAAAAAAAAANTTTTTTTTTTTTTTTTTTTTTTTTAATAAAAGAAGAAAGAAAAAGAATTGGCAAATCGCAAAAGTAATTAATAGGTAAATTCAAAAATCACGAGAAGTGATTAGAAAATTAGAAAAGGTGATACATTCTAGTTACAGGTTATTTTTAAACCTATGAGGAAACTTTACAAGCTATATGTATATGCTTGTATGAAAAAATTAAAGATGCAATAACGCATGAACTTTACTTGATATGTGAAATTATAGAAAATGTTAGTATAATTTTTTTTCTTTTTTTTTTAGGCAAACAAATTTCTGCTTAGATTCCATTTCTTTAAATTGAATTCATAAAAGTATGAATTTACATAAATTGACTTATTTTGCTGTTATCTATTCGACGGTTTTAAATTGATGTATTAAATAAAAATGAAAGTTCAGTAACGTGAACATTTTTCAAAAATTGTACGAAGCAAAAAGCAATTATACATTCTATTTCTGAGTTTCATGGTAATAAATAATGATTTATAGTAGGTGACAATGAATACAAATTAAGTACCGGATATATTGTAGACATGTGAATATATCAAGATGACAAATTAATCCTAGAAAGTCTACGATGAGCGTAGAATATGGAGGAAGTCTTTTGTTAAAATGTACTCGCAAAAATAAATGCACAGTAGAACTTCATTCATACGAACGCCATTTATTTGAACGAAATTTTAATTTAGTAACAATGAAATGAATCACTGCTGATCAACCATTTACTTTAACGTGACTCTTTACGTTAACTCTTATTATATAAATTTGCACATTTCTACCTGAGAAACGAAGTTCTACTGTTAACACGTTCGTGCAATTAAATCAGAATCTACGAGGACGATAAGAACCAATGCTTGTTGGTTATCTGTTGTCTTTGCGATTAACTCGTTAACTGAGTCATCACTCGATTAAAATCTTCAATATTCACGAAATCAAAAGTTAATAAAGATAAGTTGATTGATGTTAGATTGGTGTCGTTCTTGCAAATATTTTTTAACAAAGAAGAGATTACAACTTCTAAGCAAAAATATTATATCCCAGAGATTAGCAATATTGATGAATGATCAGTTAATTTATCCTCATTTCACAAATTGAGTTTCATTGAGTATACATATCACTTCCTGCTACTTTTCACAAAATAATGTTTGTCTTTATAAAAAAAATTCGTTACGTTCTTTTAATTCATGGAAACATATCACTTATGCAAATAAAAATTTCTACCATTCCCTTTATATAACATGTTCTTGCTCATTATATCTACGTTTCATTCCATCTTGGGAATTTCTTACAATTTCAGTCTTAATTATTAATTATGAAACTAAAGGGCCGATTTTGTAATTAGGGATGTGTAAAAGTTGAAATATGCGACTGAATTTACATTCTCAAAATATTAACGCGGTGTTTAGATTAGAAAAAGTACACTGAAAAAATAGGCGATAAATTTTTGATACATGTTTCGCTGAATTTCGGTGTCTTTATCTGATTGCTTTGTATTAAGCAAATTATAATTCGAATGTTGCGTAGAATATGGAGACACGAAAAAAGCGCGGGAAGAATAAAAACGTAATGTTGTAGCGTCGTCGTGGGTCGAATATAGTCGCGTAGAGGAGAACCTCGACCGAGAAAACGAGATTCTAGTAAAAGTTGGCAACTGAGCCTTTGTTTCGTTTTGTCACTGGCCTAAATCCCGATTTATGCTCCCGTCCTTTTCAATCATTATTTGAGCGCAACTTTTTCCTTGTAGGCAGTGACAAAAAATTTTATATAATTAGAGGCAAATTTATTACATGAATTATCGATAGACCATGCATGTTTATGCATTTGTTGAAAATTTAAATGTACAAAAAATCAAAAAATACATAACACAAAAAAAGAAATATGTATAATGTCATAAAAGTATACGTTGATGTCCTTTGTGAAATTGTCGAAGAAGCAAACGTCTGAAGAAAATACGTCGACAATTTCTACAAATAAATTATTAATTTTGTGATACATTGATAAAAATAATTTATACCTAAGCGAAATGCAACATGATATACAGCGCATAATACACGTGACACATTGTTACATTTCTTGTGTTTGCAAATGTGTGTATTTACATGAACATCCGCAGTCTGAATTGAATATCGATTGATGAGTTCGATTTTCTAAGTGAAAGTCATCGATCGATTCGAAACGATCGACAAAAGATATACATATAATACCGAAAAAAAAAAAAGATTATTTAACGGGACGAACGTTGGGTTGGTTAGTGCGTCATTGAAAGAAGAGAGGTCAAATATCGAGCTTCCATGAGTCTTGATCATTAAAATCGTGAGGAAGTGATACGCGTGTTCGTCGATTTTCGCTGGGGGCTCGTCTGTACCGCGGCTGGATGATTGGTCGACGAGTAACTTGACGTCAGCATACAATGAAATAATCGGGGGGCTCGCGCAATTGCGCTTTATTATTTTGTTCCTTCCCTGCGAATCGGTCCTGATGTATCAGAATCGTTGTAATTAGACGACATCGGCGAACGAGTCGCAATAACGACGAAAATTTTTCCACGCTGGCTCTGTTCCGAAATAGATCCAATGGACGCGAGAACCAATCTTCGCATTGTTCGTTCAAAAGAGAATAAAGCGATTTTTATTCTCATTCGTCGGCTGAGACAAATCGCGAAGAAAATGCGCGAACTCTTCGATTTTAATCACGCTAATTCGATTTTACGAACAGGAACAATGAGATGAACAGATCGAACCGAAGTTGCGTCATCCTCTGGTATTATGTAGTCCTTCAGTTTTGTGTGCTGTAGGACGCGACTCGTCGCACGCTTTACCTGTTACACAGGCCGGGTACGCATTTCGATATACGTGCTGATGCGCACGTCACGTCGCTGTGCTTCGCACGACCGTTTTAAATTTTAAGCAAACGAATCACTGTTTCCCAGAAAAAACGGATCTCGTTACGCTTAGACCAGCCAAACTGACTTAGCTTTAGTAGGTCGTTAGTCTACGTTTAAAAGAAATTTTTTCTTTTTCTCATTCATTGCAAACTTATCCTTTCGTTGCGCGTCATTTCTTTATCAAATGTTACCAACAGTTGTTTCGCGTTTGCATTATCGACCACAACCGTCATTGCCTACTACCAACAAGTTAGCGAGTGTACATTTGTTACGTTATCTCCTCAAAAGATGGAAGCACCAACCATCTCGATGATTTTTTTTTTTCTCTTCATCTGTGAAAGTTCAAGGAATTATAATTACGAATTACGTGTAAAAACAAAGCATATACAATTGTAAGAGAAAACTACTAGAGTAATAATTTTGTTTCATTCATTTTTTTTCTTAACTGACGTGTAACTAACACGGTCAAAGTAGAATTATGTTATTGACAAAGAGGAAATTTTCAGAAAATAATTTTGAGACTGACCTTGTGCTCTTTTAATTTTTTTATTGATATTCGAGGGTATATGATATCAATTACCTGACATACCTCAAGTTCATTATCGTAATCGTTTTAAATATTTAGTACAAATATATATGTTGTTGATCTGTTAGATCACGTTCATCGGTGTACATATATATATAATCAGCTTTATTCGAATCGCAAAGAGAAGAAAGGAACGAATATTATTCGGCCATTTGTTGATTGTTTCACACGTTTCGCGCGTTGCAGGATGCAGACGCGCAGCTGCGTCGCAACGTTTGAATAAACCGCATGTTCCTGAATTATCTAATAATAATAGCCTCATTACACGAATTGGCCGTTATTAATTCGGCGTTGTTTTTCGTGCACGGCACAGGCGATCGACAATTACACGCGACTTACCGTCGTATCGCGGCCTTCGACTTTATCGTCTACATAGGCACATTTCCACAAATTACACACGCACGGATGTATTGTTGTACCTCGTAATTTGAAAAAGAAAAAAAAGCGCGCTACACATCGCTTTTCGCTCCTTTCTGGCTGTCATCGTTGTCGTCATCGTCGTCTCGATACCCACCGGCCCTCCACTCCGACCTATTTCCAGCTAAAAATAGCCAATAGAATGATTGTCGTTAGAGCGTTCATTCGGTCGCGGGGCGTATCGCTATTAAACTCGAAGACTTCTTACGCGCAATTGACTCTGCGCTCTCCCTTCGCCTTCCCTTCCTTGTTCAGTCTTTCAGTCCAACCCCCATTTAGCATGGGTTTTTCGTCGCGAAAGCAACGTGCGCCTTTGTTACACACCCCCACCCCCACCCACCTCGCCGCCAGCATCGGATACGCGTTGCATACGAGACACGCGCAGCAAAGCTGACCGCGAGCTCGCACGCGAACCAGATACACAGCTTTTAATCGGATTCATCGCGCAATTTGTCGCCTCCGTGCCGAGATCCATCTGTCTCTCCGCTTACAATTGCCGCGTTTCTTTTCTCGAACTTTCACTTTTCGCGAGTCTTTTCGTTCGACCGTGTTCCCCTTTTCAATGGCAACTAACCACGAAAGAAAGAAATACGAATGGTTAACCTGCTTGTTGCTTTTTTCTTTTCTCTCTCTCTCTCTCTCTCTCTCTCTCTCTCTGCTCGTTTGATCGATAGGCCTTGGCGCGAATACTTTTTGATATATAATGTTTCGACGAATAATGAATACGAGATCAGGGTTAGATTTGAATAACACGAACTCTACTTTTTGAATGTAACGATGTAAGAACATAGGGATAAATTGTGTCTTTCGTTTCGAAAATATTTGACATTTTCGAACACTCTTTTTTCTTTTTTCTTAAATTGTCATTATCAAGA